AACTTACTGCTTCTCTCTCCCCTCGCCCTCCCCCCCCCCCCCCCCCCCCCCCCCCCCCCTTTCCTCCCCCCCCCCCCCCCCCCCCCTCCCGTTCCTCGTTGTACTGGTGAATTTCGTTATAAGGCAAAATGCTACCCAAAGCAGACTGAAACTGGCGCTCGTCCCCAGTTGGTTGCAACCCATTTTGGCATGCATGCTGCCACAGTTGTTCTAGTAGACTGATTACAAGAATTCTGATTAGGGATTTCTGAAATCTCTTTGCAGATTTCTTCCATATTTGCAATGCCATATTTGCAAAATGGAATGAAGTCAGTACAAAGTGTTTTGTGACAAAAAATGGCCAAAAAGGCTATCACATTTGTGCGGCAAGACCTTTTCGTAAGTGGCGGAAGTGAATGCACTGATTCGATCTGAAGTTAAGGGAAAACATTAGGTGGGAGTTGAAAAGAAGGGAGAAAGGTGCAGTGGTAGACTAAAAAAGAGCAACGACTTTGGTTTGACACAGCAACGGCGCGGTTCAGCAGCGCTACAAATTCAGAAATAATTAAAATGCCTTTGTATAAAATTTTGCGGTATTTAAAAACTTAGGTTTGTCGTCTTTTCTTCAATAACATCGGGACGTGGAAACGCTGGGCAAACGAACTATGGCTGGTCCAATTCGACAATGGAACGAATCATCGAGCATCGTCGGGAAGATGGCTTTCCAGGTATTGCAATCCAGTGGGGAGCTGTTGGCGACGTAGGCGTCATTTTGGAAAACATGGGTGACAACAATACCATTGTTGGCGGCACACTGCCGCAGCGAATGCCTTCGTGCCTAGCTGCTCTGGATTTATTCCTTTCATGGAATCATCCCATTGTTGCCAGGTTTACATCTTTTTCATATTCAACTTTTTATACACCCATGCATTAGTGCTTTCTACACATAAAAAAGAATTAGGACAAATCACATTTGTGCATGAGCGCGTTATTGCCCTGTCGTAGAATTAAATTCAGAAACTGCGAAAGCATGGAAACTGATTTTAGAACATAGTTCCTGGTTGTGTTCGAGCTCCAATTCGTACCTCACCTCTCTTTTTGTCCTAATCTTCTAGCTTGAGTCAAATTTGCACGGCTGATAAAGTCAGGTGATAAACCCGGAAATTAAAAGATGCAGAATGCCTGGAATTACGTGCAAACCTTATACTATCTTGAACTGCAACCTTAAGTCTAGATCCAAAACAGTTTTGTGGGTGATGAATCAAAGAATCTACAAACTAAAACTTTTAAGAGAATGACTAACAATTCTGGACGAACAGCTTGAAATCAGCTGCCAAAAGTTGTTGTATTCTGTTCATTAAGCTCAAGTCCAAACATAGGATAATTTTATGAGTTCAAATTGGACATGTTAGAAACTGAAGAGTTTCGAGTTTTAACTTCCTGAGATGAATCTGGTTTTTTGACCAATATTTGCATTTATGTTTCTCAGCAATCTGCTGTTTGCATGCGGGCCGGCTGATGAAGCCCTGTGTACATTGGAACAGTTGCAAAATGAAACACCCGCAGTGGCTTATAACAAGCAAGCACTAGTGTACTTTCCCTCTATTGCGCACTGTTACTTTTTGTGCGTTTTTGCCGTGCAGCGTTAGAGCGCTACAACAGGCGGTAAAACGAATATTGCAACGACCCTGTCTGTATGTGTTCATTTGTCTGGCTATTTCGCCAGCCGCGCAAAGTTTGATACTGAAATTTTGCCATTGTGTTCTCTGGCTAAGTGCCATTCCAAGCGCATGATATCAGTTGCCATACACGTCTACGACTCACGTACGGGCACGCGAAAGTTTTTGCGAGGAAATTGCTAACTTGGGAACAAGAAAAGCTAGAAAGCCGAAACTTTAGGG